ATCAGATTATGAAAAGATCATGGCTAATGTAAAAAGAGAATTAATCAATACCAAAATTTTTAAGTGATTGTTAAAATCTTATTTAATTTAACACAAATTGTTGTTTTTTTGTTATATACATTTTATACTTCTATATAATTTTATTAGTTTTAATATTTTAAATAATATAAAATAATAAAATATACAAATTATAACTGTTATTTAAACAATAATTTATTTAAGATTACATTACACTTTGATACAACATGATTTTTTTATTTTTCATTTTAAAAATAGTTAAGTTTAGAGTTTATAACAAAATTCAGTCAATTTAATTGTTAAGGATTATAATCAAAGATATTTTAACATCAATAAGATTAGTAATTAGAATCTTTATGTTAGAAACTCTTAGGTAAAGAGAATCTAAGAAATTAAAAGAAATGGAATAAAGAAAAATTAAACAAATTGAAACTAGTTTAGAGAATCTCAATCATTTATTAATTCAAAAAAAATGAACTAAGAGAAATCATATTAAAGTTTATTGCTCAAATAAGAAGATAATACATAATTACGTAAGTTTGATTTAGATATGGTGATATATTAGCAAATGTAATAACAATTACAATAAGAATAGACCTATAATCCAAACTAAATTTCTAATTAAATTTTGAAACCTTAACAACTTGCTTAAACACCATTGAAAACTCTGTTTTCATAATCATCAAATAAATCTAAATAATCAAAGAAATCCAAAGGATTCATTAACCCTCTATATCATGAGGTCCTGGATATTTTTAAATACATCAAAGTAAATATAAACTCCTAAATTTAAACAATCAAAGAAGTCACTACCTCTACCAATCAAGATTACAGATTCTTCAAACCAATAACAGAGATCTAAATTAAAAAATTATAATATTAAATTCTAATTTAAAATATTATATCTACATAACTTTAAATCAATATAGATAATTAAACCAAATCTATGCTTTTCCCTTGTGATATTCAAATTAAAATAGTCAATAATAAAGCAAAGAGATAATTTATTATTATACAATATCTAGTTTATTTAAAAACATAGATAAGTATTTTTAAGCTTTAAGAATTTGATTTTTTATGAGAATTGTTCTTTAATTAGATCTACGATGGACTGCCTCTTTCAATAATATTTATTTCTTTTTATCTCTCCTTAAAAGATAAATAATATTTTCAAATTCATAAATAATACTGTAAATAAGGTAATATAAAATTTGTAGATTAAAAAATTTCAAATTCTTATACTTTATTAGCATTTCTTCAAAAATCTTACTCTTTAAAATTTTTCATTTTTAAGTATTCTGGAATTATTATTTCTTAAAATGCAAAATATATCTAAAATTTCTATCAAGTAATCGTTTTCTTTTTTTTAAATTACTCATCTTTATAGAATTTGATAGATTTCTAAATTAAATAAAGATGGTTAGTTACAATAAAATATATTAATTTTTGATGATGCATTTTATCCGAATAAATACACAAATTTTATTTGAAAAAAAACATAATAATTAAATTAATCATTCTTAATGAACTAATGTTAAGAATCATTTACAAGTAAGAGATCTCAAGAAATAGAAGAATTTATAAAAGAAATGCAAGATAAAATAGAATTATATATTTAATTTGGATTAGTCAATTAGTCTTCACTCAATAGGATTGATTCTATACATTATTCAAAGATGAATGATATTCAAAAATTGATTAATGATAGATTTCAACAGCAATAATAATTATACTAGTAATCAAAAGATCATTAACAACCTAGTTCATTCCCTGAATTGTCATCACAATATATACAAAATTAATAATTTAATAATTAATTAATTCATTAAATAAAATCTTTAATTAAAGTTTCTATTGACAATCAAGTTAAATAAAAAGAAGAATGCCTTAATTAAGAATTAAAAAATAATTCTATTAAATTTATTAAAATGAGAACATTTTATAACAATCATTTGAAGAAATAATGAAATTCAAAGATAAATAATTATAATAAAAACATTAAGAAATTGAGTAATTATAGTAAAAATTAACTGATGAATTGAAGAATTTAAGTATTCAAAATATGAAGGAAAAGCAAATGTTGGAAGAAATAATTAAATCCAAAGATTAATAGTTATAATATCAATAATTAGAGATTCAATAACTTAAGTAAATTTACATTTTTTAACCATCTCTTTAATTAATACTTAAACCATTCACTTATAAATTAATATAGAATAGTTCAATTCAATACGATCAAAAATGTTATGCAATAGCTATTAATGGAGATTCTTCAATTTTAATAGCTGGATGTTAAAGTCAAATTTAAGTATTTGAATTTAAATCAGATGTGTTGAAACAAACTCAACTACTAAATAATCATTAAGGCGATGTCAATACTTTAAATTTTATGAATAAATCTAATCACTTTATATCTGGAAGTGATGATTCATCAATTATAATATGGTCTATGAATCAAAGCAATTAATATATTTGCTAATAGAAATTAAATGGACATAATGATAGTATATTTTGTTTGGTGTTGACAAAGAATGAAGATTTGATCATTTCAGGTAATGATGAATATACAATGAAATTTTGGATGAAATAGAATAAAGCATATTCTAAAACCAACTGTTTCAACCTTAATCTTTTAGATTACAATCCATTTAGAATACTGTTATGATTTTTCAATTATTAATATTTATAAATCATCTCCACATAAAATCACTTTCTATTCTTAATTCAAACTTAATCCATATACATCGCTAGTATGATCTATGATAGTTTGTTAACATAACCATTAATAAATGATAATTTATTCACTTTTTAACCAAAAGGTATAGAATAAATGATTGTTTATGAGATGAATAATACTAATAAATAAAAGATATTCTTGTTAAGGGTGGAGATGATTGGTTTTTATTTCCTTAATAGCATATAAAATCAAAACACCTGCTTATAAATAAAAATGGCATAAATGTGAATTTGATAAGAACAAATGAAAATGGTGAGTTCAAAACTGAGATTGAATTTGGAAATTAGTATTTAACTGGATGTATGAGTCTTGATGGGTAGTATTTAATAACTTAAGATGTTAGTTCATCTGAAATTCAAATTAGAAAATAAATTCAAATTAGAAAATAAATTGAAATATGAATTATTTAGAAATATTAAAGATAATAATTTATAATTATTGGTATCATTCTTCAGGAAATTTATGAAATTCTTGAAACCTTAAATATGTTGTAGAAATAATCATAAATAAACTTAAAATTTGAGAAATTAACCGAAAATTTAGTTTATATTATATCTTTATTGACTATGATTCATTTTATATCTTAATCTAATATTTTTGCATAAAAATAGTAATAAATTACTTTAAGATAGGTTAAAAATATCTAATAATATATTAATTTATTCAATGCACAGAAAATTCTGGTTATAATGATTTAAACTTCTCCAAATTCAAATTGACATTAATAAAAAATATACTATTTCATGTAATTTAAAGAAAGTTTGATAATTAGATTTATTTAGCTTAACATTCACTAGCAAAAATGGTTTAATTATATGAAAAAAGAAGAAAAATATCAGAGTACACACTATTTAGAACTATTTAAATGTATTTATAAAAAAACACTTATATTCAAATAAATTCTTTAATCAAAAGGTTAGTTATTGATGGTTATAATTATTCTTGTATTTACATCTAAAACAAATTAAAAAAGAATTGGATTATTAAACAAATCGACATTTTAAAATAATCAAAATTTAAGTAACAAAAAATTGAAGAAGCTTACCAGTTTAATAAAGGGTTTTACAAAAGGGAGTGATAGTACGTCACCTTATATATATACGCTGTTAACAGCTCTTCATCTTTACAAGACATATAAGCTTTGACTTCACCAACGAGTGTCCATTTCTTATCTATCATATCTTATTTATTTGCAATAGCCGACAAAGTATATCCTTATAGTCTTTTCCCTTCTGAAGTTACTTAAACCCAATCTCTTTTAAGGTATCTCAGTAATTTTCAGTAAACTCTATAAAGATTATCATTAAGAATTCTTTCAGCATATTTCCATCATCTAATAAAATCTTATTTATCCTTCATATAATTATTAATATGATTAAATGAATAATTAAGAACAGTGCCTTGCTTCTTTCATCTACATCTCATTAAGTCTATATAGATCGAAAATCTTTTTTATTCAAAGATTTCTGCTTCAATTTCTTTAACTGCTTTTTCCAAATTTTTCTTAATCTTTAATTCATTTCTGCCCACAACTCTGTGTTGAAATTTCTTTTTGTATTTGATAAATACTATGTGCTTATTAAGTGATTATCTATTCTTTTTTGAATTAGAATTTCATATTTTAGGCTTTCGCTTACCATTAGATGTAATTTAACTACCATAAACTGTTTTTTTTCCAAGTTTTTGAGGTTTAATTTAATTTTCATCTTCTCAGAATTTTTTAATAAGTTTGTTTCTCCAGGTAGCTGAAATACAATTCCAAACTGATAAACTTCCATAAGAGCAACAAGTTCGTGGTTCTACATAATAACAAAAATAATATTATCCTTTCATCTGATGATATAGACAGAGCGAATAATTTTGTTAATCCTTGTAAAATATTCTTAGCAATTTTTACAGGTAATTTATTTACTCCAGAAGGTTACTCTCGTCTCAAAAATTTATGTTATGGTCAACAATGAGGAATTTGCCCCTAAAATTCTCATCTCTATAGGGGATGTATAAACCTCTGTTCCTTTCACAGCCAAATAGATCAAATCATTTCCTACTTTCCAAAAGTCACTTAATTATTCTGTAATAATATTTAACAAAGATTCTTGATTAGATTAATTAAGTCCAAAGAATTATTTCAAGAATTCAACATTAGAAAGCCCTTCATCCCTAATTAAATCAACTAAGGGGGAGAAATAGATAATTTAACCAGTTCTTTAGCTAAATGATCAGTTAATAATCTTATACCAACCTTGAAATTCATAATTAGAAAATAATAGTACTCCTAATTAAAATCATCAGTAACTAATAGGATCTATTGTAAAAAGATACTTAATTAAGAAGACTTGTGTAGATTTGGCAATTCATATTGATGATAAATTGTAATTGAAAGAGGGAAGAGTTTTAAAAATTAGAAATTAACTAATATAATATATCAAACAAAAATTTAATTTAGCAGAAAATTATAATAATTCAATAATCTTAGATACATAGACTTTTTATGTAATCCAACAATTAAACCTTCAAA